CTTTTACCAAAAAATCTGAAAACAAAAATAAAAATAAGGATAAAAAAAAAAGGTCACCTCATTTAATTGTAAACTACCCCAAAAAGTGAAACAAAAAAAAATTTCTAAAAAAGTTTCTAAAATTCATCGAAAACCAACAAAACAAAAGTAAAACAAAATATAAGAATTAAGGATGCTTCTTTAACTACGAATTTCTACTACTCAATTTCGCCTAACTCCTCCCATAACAATGACTAAAATGTGTTGGTTTAAATCTTTTGTCCTGTCGCATGTACCTATATTAAACCATTGCAATTAATAGCATGGTCTTGTAATCATTACTTTTTTTTTTTTGGTTGGTGTAAGATGACAATGAATTCCTTTATGAAATAAGTATTAAATATAATTTAGCGAATTTTCTATGAGTATATATATATATGTTTTACATAATATCTATATTAATATTATATATAAATATTTCTAAAGAATTTAAGTTATTATTTTAGGTCAAATTTCTTATCTGAACTGCAAATATTTAAATATTGGAAATAATTTTATCTGGGGAATATCTACATATATAAAAATATATTATTCGCCCAGATGTAGTACAAGAAATATTGGGATGCAAGTATAAAATTATTATTTTGAATTTAATCAAAATCTCATGAGGACTTATATGGATAAGAAGTGAACAATACATGCTTATGTGAACAATGAATAATTTGTATAAGGTTTATTATTATTATTATTAATAATATCAATTAATATTTTTATAAAACTATGTCAATTTTATTACAATAATTTTTTTGTAAATTATTATGTACCAAGGAAAGATATTGAGGTAGGTTTAATTATTTCAAAATTAATTAATTTCTGTTCTTAATTTTAAATGAAACATTTTTATAAAAAAATTAGAATCGCATATAAGTTTGGTACATGCCTGAACATAGTAATTACTTAAAACACATTAAAGATTTTATTTAAAACTATACATCTGTTACTATATAGACTATCCTACATACTAATTTTACTTACTAAGACTAAATTTCTTATACTTATCTTATTTTTGTGTGTAGCTTTATTGAAAATACAAACTAGAAACAAAATAAAAAATTATTTTTAAAATTCCCATTGTAGATTTCAAGGGAACCGAATGGAGTAACCCCCAAAGCCACCGCAGTAAAATCCATATTAAATAAATTAAAAAAAAAATTTAATTTAATTTTAAATTATTGATAATTTTCAATAATGAATACCTATTCTTCATTATAAAACAATTTTTAAATGCGTTCACAAATTAATATTCTTATTAGGAATTTAATTGGTTAATAATTAAGAATTTAATTTTCCATTAAATTCCTAATTCATGCCTACCACTTTCCTCCATAATATGCTGATAGATACTTTAATAAATTTTATCATACTGTATGTAATATTTCGAAAAATATTCATACACGTTCCTTTAATCATTGTGCTAGGAAAAGAAAAAAAATATATAAAAAGATAAAAATTTAATTTTGAGGTTTTCACTTTTTTTCTAATTTTCTGTTCCTTCTGATTTACTACAATAACTTTATTGAAACTCTCGTGAAGCAGAAAAATAAACTTTGTATTTTCTTTTGTATCTTAAGTACATGTCAAATTAATTTAAAGATTAATATAAATTAAAGAAAAATATTTTTATAAGTGGAAATCTTAAAATAAAAGAAAATCCACTGTAATATGATTTAATTTAATCCTTCAAAATCATTAAATCGTAATCGCTTTAGAAAATGTGGTTATTATAATTTTAAAATCTATTATTTAATGCCTAATGAACATTGATATATTATAATTGAAATTGTTTAATAATGTTTAGATTAATATACAAAAATGAATTAGTGAATTTAAAACTCTTTAATTACTTTTCATATAAAATGTTTTAATTTAAATTTTACAATTAAATATAGTCGATATTATCAAATTATAAATTATTGATTTAATGTGCAAAAATACACAAATTACCTATACAATTAAAATAAATTCAGATATTGTGTACTTACATACATTCACTTTATTATTTGATAATTAGGAATAGATAATTACGTTTATAAAAAATGTCGAGAATTTAAAGCAAATATAGAATATCATAATTATAGGTATATAGATTAAAATATTGAAATATTAAAATCTGCTTAGTATCATTTTTCAATTGAAGATAATAAATGAACATTCTCTGTTGGAAATTGAAATATAAAAATAAATTTTTCAATCATTTATGCTAAATTCATTTAAACCCAAACCTTCCATTTTCGCTTATCGTTTTATATTGTTCAAAAACACTTGAACCATTTTTTGAGGATCCAATATCAACAACTACGGAATAATTTTGTTAAAATTTTAAAGGTTTCTTTATTAATATAAAAATTTTGCATTACATTTTTCTGTTAATGTTGAACACATTCTTAGTTTAGTAAAATTCAACAAAACAAATTTAGTAAAATAAAAGAAAAGCAAAAACATTTATCTTATATATTGTATAAATTCGTGCTAAATTATAATCACTTACATATGTATGTATATATAAAAATAATAAGTAAAAAACTTTGAATAAGCAAAAACTTTGAATCAAACTTTGAATAAGCAAAATTATGGAAATAATTTTTCCAAAATAGCCACAAAATAAATTCTATTCCTTTATAAGAAATATTAGTAGAATAATCAAAAAAAATTCTTATAAAAAAAATATTAAAACAAAATCAAATCAAAAAATGTTACGTACATAGATTATATTCATTTAAATCCTTTAACTTTCAATTTGGAATTTCTATTGTAAATAAAGTAAATTTATGTCTAAAGACCTCAGGCAGCTCCTATTACTGACAAAATTTCTGATTGTTTTAAATCAAATATTTAGTTTGAATAATCACATTTTTAAAAACCAGGACTTCTTTTAATTTCTTTCGCTCTTGGATATCGTTGATTCGTGATTGATTTTGAAGTATTATTTTCATTGTTTTGCTCATCAAACATATTTTTTGAGTTATTTTTAGTAGAATTAACCATTTTTTGATATTTATATTGCATAACACTCAAAAAAACTGAATAAAAACGAACACAGTCGATTAAATTGTTTAAATTCTTTTCCAATTTGTCGATTTTTTCTGTAAAAAAATCTATTAAAAATGTTAATAATAAAAACAAAAATAAAACCTTACCATTACTCAGTAAAATTTCTCCATTTTTTTGCCTAATCTTAACTTTTTCATATTCAACTAGCTCATTTAAATTTACTTGGAACTGGTTTCTAACATCACTTTCTTTAACATTTTCAAAATGTAATTCTTTCAAAAAATCAATTAACTTCCATACTTCAAAAAATTCATAGTCCAATGACTGATGGATCATTTTAAGATGACTAGACAAGTTTGTTATCACAGTTGGCAAATAGTAGTTAATTTTAGAGTTACAACCTTTAATCATATTTTCTAGAGATATTCGTGCATTGCTCAGTTCCATTACATAAAATGACATTCGGCGGAAAATTGTAATTAAATTTAAAAAACTTGAATTGAATCTAGTGAATCAAAAATGTAAACTTATTGGATTATCAAAACATATTTTCAACGACTAAAATATTAATACTTTACCTGGTTGTGATTCCTAACATTTCGGGTGTAATATCTATTGGATTATCTTCATTTGTTTGTTGCTTAAACAATATACAATTTAAGTATAAATATTGGAGAATAATTTACAAATAACTAAATACCTACCACATATTTACAATATTTCCGGTTATTAGACTTTTTTGCCACATTTTTAGCCAAACCACCAAATTTATTTCCAATTGATTTGAATGATGATGGCGTATGTGACTGCCATGAGTTACTCTCAGGAGCAGAATCTAAATCAAATCCTGTACCTGTGCTATATATATGTGGTCCTTTAAAACTAGGTTTATCAATGTTTTGAACGTAATTTGAATCGTGAGCAAGATATGCTTGCGGGTTAACAGATGTTAGCATATTTTGAGCGCTATAAGTATATGAGCAAGGGTTTGTATTGTAAAATAAATTTCTACCATCAGATGAGTTTGTTGTTTCTTTGTTCAAATTTAAATCCGGATAATAAACATTTTGTGGTGGAGATTTTAATATCGGTGGTGAAGAATAACTGCTATAAATCGCACCATAACTATTAATATCTGGAATCATTTGAAAAGATTGTCGAAGGATATTCCCTTTTTGTTCAATTTTTTCATCAACCACATAAGAAAAGCTTGTAATTTCTTGGAAACTTTTATCATAATTCTTTTCAAATTCAGTTCTGGTGTTGTATTCTGCCATTTTACAAAATTTAATATCTCATTCAAATTAATTAAAATTTTTTTTATCCAAAATTTTTCAAGTAAAATTCTTATTTTGATCTTATTACAATATTCGTTATTTAATTTGAAATTAAACTGATGGTGGGAAACGATTCATGTGAATATAAGTTGACGTTTGATTATGCGAATTTAGAAAGGACATTGTACTGGAATTTTCGAAATCACTACTACAGCGCCATTTCGAAAATATTTTATAAACATAACTAATTCAAATATTTTCACAATGGGAAATATTTTCTTGTAATAATGATTTGCTACCAAAAATGTACCAGTTATCACAAATTCAACAAATAAATTCATAACAGTATGTTCAATTCGAAATCATAAACTAAATATTATTTATCATAACACAAACAATCCTAAATGTATTATTAATAACATTGCTCAATCAACATGAACTTTATTCATTTCTATTCATTTGACATTAAGCATTCAAAACTATCATTACTATTTTATTTGACATTTTTGTTTGAATTATCTTAAGTTCAATGTAAACTCAGCTTTAGGTTATTATGCATGTTTACTTTCCGTAGTTTACAATCGTACTGCGAAATAATCAAAGTAATACTATACTACCACTTGCAAAAGGATTAAAGGGACTAATTTTTAACCGGGGAAATTTAAAAAGTAATAAATTAAAAAAAAAGAGAAAGTTATGTCGTCAATCGTATGTATATATTATATTTCTTTATTTTTTTCCATTTTTTTCAATTTTTTGTTAAAATTTTTAGTGTTATAATACTCTTGGCATATGTGTGACAAATTGTATTGTGGTGTTTCCTTGTCATTTACTTAAGCTAATGCGTCTAGAAATTTGAGTTCTTTTGTTAAAAAGTATGGAGTTAATAGCTTCAGATTCGGCAGGCGTAAATTGCAAAATAGTCGAAATAGCATTGATCATATGACGTTTGCCATCTTGGCTGGATGTTGATAAGAAACTAATAAAAACATTTTTCAAATATTCTAAATTAGCACCCTCTCGAGTTTTACATCTTTCCAATCTAAAAAATACATACATTTAAAATTAATAAGTTTGGTATACAAAATGTTCTTTTATATAATCTGTACCTATCTACTTCAATTTCTAAAGCAGAAATTTTATCATGCAGTTCTTCTTGTGTCGTGACTTTGTCTTGCAAAGCTTGCCGCAAGGCGGTTTCAGCAGAATATTTTGCTTTACGCAAACCTGCAATTTCAACATCTTTTCTTGCTATCTCATTTGCATAATGAAGCATGTGACAATTTTCTAAATTTAAATTTGGATTAGCTGCTGTTGCAGCTGAAACTGCAGACTGAGAGCTCAAAATATTTTGAACATGTGCAGCAGCTGTTGATGTTGTTGAAGTTGCGCCACAACTTTCATATGGATCAAAATCAGTTGAACTAGAACTTTGTTTTACAATTAATTCAAATGAAGTTTTTAAAGCTTTAATTTCATTTTCTTTTTCATCCAGTAGCTGTAACGATCTAACTCTTTGCTTTTGAAGTTGTTGCTCTAGTTCACTTATTTTACTACGGTATTCGTTTTCCGCGGTCGTCAAGCTTATTTTCCATTTCGATTTTTCTGTTTTGACGGCCTGAATCAGTCGTTCATTCTGTAATTTTAAATCATTCTCCTGTTCTTCAATATTTTGGTTGAGAACTGTAATTTTTTCCTGCAGAGTTTTAATATTTTGTTTCTGACCATTTGAAACCTGTATCAAAGTTGAATTTTCTGCTTTAAAATGTTCTAATTCTTCCCGAATTTTACGATAATCTTCAAGGCACTGTGAGTGATCATTACCTGCCGAATTAAAAATTTTGTTCAAATCAACTGGATTTTGGGATTTTGCGTTTTCTATTATAAGAACTTTTTTCAATTTCATAATTTCATCGAAAATCGATTGTGCATCACGTTTTCGTAAGATCGAAGGGTCAGGTCCTTGATCTGTAGAGTCTATAGAACTTGTACCAAATTTGGAAATTTTTTCCTTCAATTTTTGAATGTTTTCCTGATCCTGTTGTCTTAAGCGATCATATGTTCCAACAGTATTAGAAAGTTCTGCCAATCTTGCTTCCAAATTTGCTACACGATCTTCATGTAAAGCTGATAATCTTTTGGAATGTTCTTCTGCCAACAAAGCCCTTTTCTGTTCAGCTTTAATGGCAGTGGCGTGTTGCTAAAATTTTGCAAACATTTGAAATTTTTTATGTTCAACTTTGCTATTACGCAAATTTATTTTAATTTACCTGTTTTAAATGCTGCATTTCTTTTTGTAATTGTTGCATAATAATGGTGTTTTCTTGGAATGACTTTTGTCCGATATCATTTTCTTCGTATTTTTTCAATTGTTCTTTGGCTTGTTTTAACTCGTTAGCTAATTCTTTTAGTTTATTCCCGGAATTATAACCGAAGTTTGATGAAATTTCTGCTTTCAAATTATTAAGTTGCATTTCCAAATTCTCTTTTAAATGTCGTTCATCACTCAATAACTTTTGTAATTCTCTCAACATAACCATATGATCGTTGGATTCTTTTTCTCGTTCATGTCTTTCAACAATTATTTTTGATTTCATGTTATCTTTATCTGTAATTATCTTTTTCTCTAACTCTTTAACTTTTTCTTCCAATCTTGAATTTAATTCATCTTTTTTACTCAATTCTGAACGTAGTTTCTTTTTATCCGCTTGAAAAGAAGCTTCCATCCGGGATTTTTCAGCAGATAATGTTGCTAATGAATGCATTAAAGTAGCAATTTGACTTTGCAAATCCACTTGCGAAACCTTTCTCAATGGACTTTCCAAATTTGATTTTTCACCTTTATTTAGCGCATTTTCAGTTGATGTGTCACTTGAAACAGATATGTTGTCGGCAGCTTCATTATTATCGAATGCAGGAGATTCTTTAGCTTTATTTAATGCAGAAAGGCTTAATTCTAAGGCTTCTTTTTCTTTTAAAAGGCCTTTATAAGCCGTTACAACATCTATATTACAAAACCATTATTAACAAAAATCAAAATGAGTAAAACTAGATATTGGTTTCTGTTATATTTACCTTTTAATCTGGCTTCATATCGTGATAATTGTTCTTTTTGAGATTTAACTAGTGATTCAAGTTCTGCTTTGCTTTTATCCATCGTAAAACATTATTAATTTACTTTTATTGTTCAATTTTATTTAAAATTTAGTGTAACATTTTTTCCAAAACAACTTTTTATTTTGGCCAAATCAGCAACAAAAAAAATTGAACAGATGATTGTCATTTAAAATTTTAGACTTACCATCGTATTTTCAAATAGTGGGCAAATATTTGTGGTGTTACAGTAGTCCTATTAAATTTTGATACAACTATTAATGAGACTATTTATTATGTCATTTAATACAAGCAATCGGCTAATGAGATATGAATTTAATCGAGAGAAATGATCACGTGACATATTTCTCTAAATTTTGTGCTATCACAGTTATTTCTTGAATACTTTTTTAATGAATTCATATCCGCATATACATATCTGTAAACATATATCACAATTACCCATACACATTTATAATCACATCAACTTTCTTATATAAGTTCGAACATTCAATTATCAACATTGAATATAAAAGGAAACGGCAATTCTATATGTTAAAAAAAAATGACCAAAACAAATAATTGTCAATAATTGTCAAATGAAATGTGATTATGATTAATCAAAAATTGTAATAATAAAAATAAAGTGCCTGCCATGCTATTAAACCACAAAATAAAAACAATTCTTAAAAAACGTGTTATAGTTAGAAACATAAATACTGTTTATGTTAAATAAAAATTGCAGTTTTAATAATCTGTAAGTGGATAGGAAAACCAAAGAAAAACATGAGTATTTTTCATGATGAAATTGAAATTGAAGATTTTGAATATAACGAAGAAGAAGAAATGTATTATTATCCTTGCCCGTGTGGTGACAGATTTCAAATTTCAAAAGTAAATACCAATTTAACACATTTTACAATATTAAACAATAACTATTTTTAGGAAGATTTATATAATGGAGAAGAAACTGCAGAATGTCCCAGCTGTTCATTAATCGTAAAAGTTATTTATGATAAGGTTAGTTAAGAAAATCAAAATTAAACTGGACCAAATATGATTTCATCACACATTTACCAATACTGCTTTTTTCATATTATTGGTTTTTTTTTAAAACACAGTTTCCAAAAGAGACTGCTGCACCTTCAACACATATAAATAAAATTCTATTCATGTTTTTGCATAATTAACCCATTCAATAAAAACTAGGGCTCAATTAATGCATGTACACGTCTATTTAAAACCTTAGTAACGTAGTTAACCTATTTTTGATTATAAACTTTATTTTTTAACAGGAATCGTTTATAAGAGAAGTAGATGAAGAAATAAGTAGGGAGAATACGCAGACGCAGGTGCTGGATATAAATAAATAGTTAATGAATAATATTGTGAAACAAATTCTAAGTTAAAATTTTAAATTTTTGTTATTTTAGTTTTAATGTAATGTAAAAAATTCTGACGAATAAGAATATAATTTTAAAAGCTCTTTATAAAAATTAAATGATGTACATATTTATTCATATATTGTAAATAAAAATGACTAATTAATACTTCAAAGCTAAATCTATTAAGGAAACATAAAACTAAGGAATGAATTTGGTTGTTTTAATAGTTATGTTTTCATCTTAACAGACAGGCTAGACTTACTATTAAATATCAGACGCCCTATAGAAAAATTCTATGTTACAGTTATATATGTTGTTAAAGTCTCAACAGCTAAATAAATTTAATATTAGTAAATCCTTGCAGTGTTTAAACACACATATGTATGTATATACTTAAAACTACAGTGTACAACATAAAATTATAAACTTAAACGTAAATGTGAATCGTTCTTTAAAATCTTGTTGTTTTTTTAATCCTATTACTTCACTATGACCTTATCATACCTACAGCCCACAGGTTACAGTTGTTGGTCTCCACATTTGAATATTTCCATATTCACCAGCATTTTGTTTTTCACCGCAATTATATTAAAAATTTCATCGAACAAATTTAAAATATTGCACAAAGGTGAATAAAAATAATAGTTGCTGAACAATTAAGAACATGTTGATGGGTTTTGTATCTTGCAATTATTTTATTGTTTTATCGTAAAACGTTAATGTATAGAAACTTAAAATGAATTTCGAAAATCGAAATCATTCTGGTCTGGTTAAGTTTTTGTTTTTATATTCGACTTTGATTTTGAAATTTATTTCTTGTTAAAAAGAGCGAAGTGATTTTAAGTATTGTATTGTATGTATGTATGTATAATTGTCATAATTAGATTTAAACACTTTTTATATACATATGTAATAATAAAAGAAAATTTTACTTACATAATATTACTTTTCTTAGCTTAAATTCATACTTTAATAATACTTTTCTTAGCAGTAGGTATATCACATACATTACAACATAAATATGCATATGAAGTACACCGAGACACTACAAATCTACAATCAACAATCGATCCAATCAACAATGTATGCCGATCTGTATGACACTCAAAGCTCAAAACAAGGATCAAAAATATATGTAGTTAAGTATAAGTTAGGTGTCTGCAATTTTAAAATCCAGTTGATCGATCATCCAATTACATTGCGTTTGTACATATGTACATGCACTCATACATATCTACAAATATACATACAAATTAACAAAATTTAATAATTAATAATTTTCCATTTGTAATTGTTAAATTTGGCGATTAAATATAATGATTAAGTTATGGCTAAATAATTTGACTGTGAATTCATTACATTTTTAGTACAGCTCATTAGAAAAATAAACTTCCATTCTTACAATATTGATTTTCAACTGATATTCATGGTTCCACCACCAATGATTAAAGTTTTAAAAGCGTCATAAGATCACTTAACAGAAGACTTAAACATGCCAAGCGGGTATACATAATGTAGATGGCTAAATATAGATATACATATATACTTAGGTACGTATAATTGTATATAATGCATACATTCGGTGTGGCAATTATATATTGTATTACATAATTCTACCCAGAGCAGCTGTTAAAATGAACATTGAAAAAAAAGTTTTCTTTATAAAAAACAAAATTGGACCACTAGCATGCGGTTACATAATGTAGCTAAGGACTAAATAAATATTAAGTAGGTACATCAATTGATTTTGATAAGCCCATCCAGTGCTAGCGAAGAGGGTATAATTTTGGAGTATGTACTACAGCTACGTACATGGTACCATTTAGTGTATAAATGAAAATTCTTTGATGGAAATCTATAAATTGTGTTATATGTAAGTTTCTAATTGATTTTACATAAAAATTTGTAATTTTATTAAAAAAAAATTTTTCTCTTCCTTCATTTCTTTTTTAAATTACAAAAATTTTTATATTAAATTAATTTTAAAGTTTTACAGAGCTCTTTTCTAAGAAATCAATTCATTCTTATTCCCCATAATATAATTAATTCATCTTTAAATAATTTGAATGGAAAAGTTTAAAATTCTTTATTCTTGTATTCATGAAAAAATTAAGTGAAATCAAATGCGGTCTTAATATCCTTAGCGATTTTTTTATTACACCTTTTACCAAACTATCTGATTAAGATTATCAATTAGCCGCATGCTGTCTTATTCAATTTTCATAATCTTGCTCCCTTTTGGAACTTTGTATTCAAAAAAGAATATGAGCTCTTAACGCTGTTATAGAAAAGTTATGCTTCCTTTCTTTTCTTTGAGTTACCCAAAATGGAAAATCAATGATAAGCAGTGCACTATCATTATTATATTTTCGATAAAGGTTATCACTATATCGGGTGTATAACCATAAAATTGTTGCACATACACACTGTTTGTATAATTCACTTAAAATGCAGTGTGACAAAAACTTCTTAACCAATCTTAGAATTAAAAATGAACAAAAAAGAAACTGAAAACTATTATGATTTTTTATTCGGTAAAACGTTAATACTAAAATTTAATAAAAATTTTATAGAAAACAAAAATTCTTTTAAACGGAGTAAAAAAAATGAATGAAGAAATTTTCGAGAAAATAAGGATAATTTGTGTCAATTTGTTTTTATTTTTTTTATTATTTTTAATAAAAATTGATTTTTTTTTGTCAGCAGTTTGTTATATTACTTGGGATGATAGTTTTGTATTACTTGGCAATTTAATAGGGCCCATTTCGAATTTTCTCCTATGATTATAAAAAAATGCAAGCTGTTAATTCAGGAATTTGGTCTTACATTTAAAATTTGTCATACATGCATAGTTGTCTTGTCTAAATGGAATTATTCATGCATTTTGCTCAAAAATCGGAAGTTATGTGTATTCAGTAAAATTAAATTTTAAATTTGATTCTACCTATTGGATTCTCTTCCTAATGTAGAAAGCCACTAATATTATCAAATTTATTTTTCAATTAGAAAATTTTAAAATAATTTTAATTTTAATATTGTAGGTTTTCCAAGACATCCTTGATGCTGATCAAACCTGTGCATGCTGATCTATATTATGAAAAAGAGAAATAATATAAATTGCTATTGATAGCTAAATTAAGATTATGAATTCAAGGAGTAAATACTGCTGTACAATGAACGTATACCTTATGCAAGTGGGGTTATTGAACTAGCTTACTACGTATTTTGTTTCTTAATCTTGTGACAAATAATATTTAATAAGAGCTGTACAAATACGAGCTTAAAAAATTGTAAATTTCATTGATCGTGCTAAATATGATAATAATGAACCTATTTTAAATATTATTAATATAATTTTATGTTACGTACAACAAAAATTTAAGTCACCAGACGATAATCAATACTTTTTGGAAGCTGTGGAAAAGAAAACCAATAATAATAATATTTTTCAAATATGTTGCGGAAATGTTTAACATTTTTCGCCATTTTTACATTTACACAAACAGTAAAAATAGATTTAAATTATCGTACTATTAATTTTTATTTTCAATTTAAACCTATTTTTTTCCTGTGTTGCTTCTTCAATTTTAATAAAACAAAATTATAATAGACTTTCTTTGTTTTTTTTTCATTTTAGATTTTCGCATCAGAATCAAAATGATTATTGGTTCGCAAAACCAGAAACAAAAAATAAAGAAAAGAACCAGAAATATGAAATAGAAAAAATTTTAATAATATCAAGGCATTTGTTCAATGAATGGCTTTTGAATCTAACACTAAAATAATATAGAATACAACAGAGGAAGAGAAGCCAAAAAAAACAGAAAAGAATGAGGAGTAATAATAAGGATAATAATATCCATGTATAATGATTTGAAAATATTGGATAAAACGATAAAAATATGTTACAAGGATAATTTAATTTAATTTAATTTAAAGAATAAGATATTTAATTATTATATGTAAATAGTGTAGAGAAAATTGGCAAACAAAATTAGAATTAATTTAATTAAGGAAGAAATTATTAAATTAAGTCGAAATAAAATTTTTAATTGAAGTAGATAGAAATGGATTGTAATTAAATTTAGAATGCATTTTTTTTTTTAATATAAATGCTTAGGTTTAGTTTCTTATTATAATTATAAGTGAGTGAATTTTTAAGTATAAAGTATAAAAAATAATAATTTTAATAATAATAAGCAAATTTATTATTTATTGAAAAAAAAAAACTTTCAATCTAAATTAATACATGTAAAACTTTATTTAAAATTAATATTTAATTTTTAACTAATATTGATTGAAAACTATATTTGAATTTATATTGAAATTTTAAAGAAGAAAAATAATTTCTGAACAATATTTCTTAAATAGTTTTTTAACCAAAAATTTTTTCTAGATAGAAATTTAATAACATTTATCGTTTTACGGATGCATAATATCAGTGCATACAGATTATATATATATATATATATATGTTATATTAGAATTTTTTTTTAAAACTAACAAACGTACATAAAACTTTATTAATATTAAATTTTTGTATTTTTGATAATATTTATTAAAATTTTCTTTAATAATTTTATATGAATTTCCTTTAAAATTACAATTTTTTAATTTAAGTCATATAAATTCATATTAAACTCAAATATTATTTTAATTACATTATTTATAGTATATGAGCCTCAATAATTTAATATAAATATGTAAGAAATTTTTGTTTAAGTGAATTTATGTATCGTTTATGTTCTAGATTGTTTAACAATATTCTAGATGAATGTTCTAGATGAACAATGTAAAAATATTGTAAACTATGCATATAATTTGCAATATTTTAATTTAGTTTTAAATTTATCTAATACGCATTTATGTATAATATAATTTCAATATTAGAACACGATAGGAATTAATATCTTGCAGATATAGCCACTATTAACTTACTATGGAAAACTGCGTTATTTAACTTTAAAAATTGGTTTTTTAAAAATTTAATAAAGACCTTGTACAATTTTAAGTTTTTCATAGAAGATTTCACTAATTATCTTCTGATTTCAAATATTAAGTTACTTCACAATTTTGTCACTGAAATATCTTATGTAAGCAAAGAAAAAGAAATTTTATTTCGATTTTATCTAGACCTCCCACAAATAAATATAAGTAAATAATTTATATATACATAATTATGTGCTTAACGCATTCACGTATGTTATTGTGAAAATCTTGTCATCAAATCCTTATGCTTACATATTATATTATGTATAAGTAGTTTGAAAAAATTTTTCAAACAAAGAATAAGGAAAAAGGAAATACCGCCCTTGACATTACATATAATTTTTGTTAATAAAATATCAATAAAATAGGAAGA